GAAGTGAGATATTTTCCACTTGGGTGTTAAGTGAGGCATTGTTGATTTTAAAATCCAAGCCATATCCTCCATTTTGAGATGATGCAAATTATCCTTTCTCATGATTGTGGGTAGTAAGTATGTTTTCCACACGGGCAATAACGATGAAGTCTTATCTCATAAAATTAACCAACACACTTGTGTTTTAAAATTTTTAAAGGTGAACTACGTGTACCCTGATCCCCTATTGTATAAAAAGTGGTACGTAGGCACTAAAGGTTCACAACCGCGGAGGGTACAAAAAAAATCATAAAAAATATATTTCTTTTCTCACCTCCACCATCTATTTTACATACAACATTTTATAGCCAAAATATACAGATTTACAAAGAGGTTTCTGTGGAGTACCGTAAATGTTTAGGGTGTTAATATCTTCCCTTTGTATAACCAACCCCCTTACCTTGAATCTTTACCCCCCTTTTGGGTTACCCGCTCTTTTCCCAATCCTTTGGAAACAATAAAGCACGGTGGCGATTTTATTTTGATCTGTATAAGTCTAGTCAATCCAATGGCTTAGTCTTAAACATTTCTACCGCTACAATAATTGGTTTACAACTCCAATAATCCATAAAGCAACATTTATCAAATAAAGTGAAATAAAAGAGTTATTCTACTTTCATAGTTTTTCAAAGACAACAACGACTAAATATGCAAAGCAACATCCATCCCCGGTGTTACGTATAAGAGAAAGACCCGAATCGATCAATGCAATTACGAGGTACAACTCCATACCTTACGCAACTCTAAACTTTGTCACATGCGCGTTGTCCACGTAGAGGCAACATTCAAACAAAAGGGGTGAGATATCACAATAATATAAACGGGTATATGATAATGAGTAAGTAAAGTTCAACATACATAATTATTCATTCAAACTTCATGCTTCAACATGAAAACACAATATTATTTCAACAATCACACCCAAACGATAACACATCATATTTCTTCAACAACAACGTCATAATGCAATGAGACCAAATTCCCTAAATATATGCATGTGGTACCATAACAACATCCCTTTTCCATACAAGCTACACCATCTCTTGCCGTTAAGGCCACATTGTCACTTGCCATTAAGGCCACACCGTTATTTATGAACATGCACGCAACACTAAAATATATGACAACAAATGCAATCTTACAACACGCATCAACAATCAAACCAATACAACTCGTTAATCACACATCATTATTTATATATATCATCACAACATCACTACGTCATGAAATTTCTTCATATTCATCGTCGCATTCACAACTTCGCATTTTCAACGAAATGTAGGAATAACATAAAATTCAGGAAATCACTTCATATTATGTCTAAACTATTTTTATTGAGTAGAAAATATTTTTAGTTTTCCAACAGTTCAAACGGCGCGTCAAACGGACATCCGAGTTAAAAGTTATAGAGATTTCAAGTTTTCACAAATGCTGTCAAACAGTGAGCAATCGATTGCACTAACAGAGAAGTCGGTTGCACCCTTTTCCAGAGGCCAAAAATCACATTTTTAAGCAGTGCAATCGATTGTTCTTCTGCTCCAATCGATTGCTTTCTGAAACAAAAGTAAAAATACCAATTTTTAAGCAGTGCAATCGATTTCTCTTCTGCTGCAATCGATTGCACCCTGTGGAAAACAGTTTTACGAATTCTGTAAAGTGCAGTACGAAAACCCTTTTGTCTCAATTCCAAAAAAACAAACTTCATGAAATAGTGCACAATCAAACATCCAATTATCATTGCTATCAACATACATCAATTACCACATAATTTAAAACATCAATTCATCGACTATAGTCAATTTTAATAAATTAAATTAAACAATCTACACCAAAACCTAACATGAATATAATTACATCCCTACCATTACACCACCTATTAGAGAGTCAGAATCCTACCCTTACCTTGGATTTGATGATTCTAAGCTTTCTACCGAAAAATCCTTGCCCTAGCTTGTACGCTCTTCCATTCTCTTCATTCTTCTCTTTTCTCTAGTTTCTATGGTTGATTGGAAATAATTATTCTCTCACTCTCTAGACCCCTAATACCAATATACCAACTTTTCCCCTCATCTTATTACTAGTTTTATTTTAATTATTTAATTATTAATATTATAAAAGACTATTCATCTCTTATAATAATAATAGTAAATATAATAATAATAATAATAATAATAATAATAATAATACCATTAACACTAGTATTCTCCCTTCACCCCCATGTCTCTACGCTTTTAGACACACACCCCTAATATCCTTAACTTCTTCAATCATCATTATTTCTAATCTTCCAATAATTCCATCAAAACACATATAAATACATCATATCATATATTTTATTTTCAATAAAACAATCTTAGTTAAATCGGGGTGTTACAGTTGGAACAATAGGAATAAAAGCTCCAAGATGCATTGTTGGTTCAATAAAGGAATAAGGCCAAGAAGAGAGAGTCACTTGAAGTCGTGTAGAGAAAGCCAAAAAAGTTGATGGACTGGTGTGCATTGTCGGGTGATGGCCGGGTGAGGATCATCGCGTCTGTGTTGTTGGGCGACGGTGAAGCGAGAATGGACCAATTTTCCATTTGGGTCTGCCTTGCTTCGTTGCTGTGTCGCCAGACAAGGAATAAAGATGTCGTCGGGCGATGGAAAATATTTTTGACTAGTGGAATACATGGCGTAGTTTGGGCCAAGAGTTTAGGTAGCGTCGCCGGGCGACGGTCACAGAACAGATTTTCTTTATATTTCATTTTAATTTCATTTTGTTTGGTTATGGTTTTGGGGGTGAATATTTGTCTCCCAACTCGATCAACCTCATTTTTGTACTGGATTAGCTTAGATAACAACTATGGAGCTTGCTCATGGATGATCCAGGGTGGATTGCTCTTTGATCGGTGCTGACAAACCAGGAGATTTGTGGTTCATTTCTCTTTTTCTTTGTATATTCTCTTTTAGTTGGATTTTGTATGTATATTTACTTTGATCTTATGTATACTTGTCGTCCATGGCGTTATATTTAATTTTCTTTGTAAATCCTTGTGGATTGTTATCCTTGATTTTTTCTCTGTGCTAGAGATTTGAATTGTTATAGACATATACTGCTCGAATTCTTATCTTGAATGATTGTGTAATAGTGTTTACATTCTAGAGATAGATTTAGTGCTATTATTCACTTAGGGTGTCTGTGATTAATGCCTCTGTGTTGGTTGTGTTGGTTGAGAGATCGTTAACACGAATGGCACAATTGACTTCTGTGTTGTTGAGGTGGTTGAGAGATTGCTACCGAGGTGATATAATGGGTGTTCTGTTTGACATTTGATGATATTGACGAGTATTGTAGGTTGAGTATAACTGGTCGATAGGTTTAAGTCTGTGAAGAGTGGATTATATGCATGTTTGATAAGTTTCTCCTTGAAAGAACAAATTTATTTCCTTGTCAATAGTTTTTATCCTTTCTTTACAAACAATCCATTTTCTCCAAAACTCATTAACGAATGATTTGTCAAACGGCGAATCAATATCAATCTTTGTGGACACGATACGATATAACCTATATCACCTGGTAAAATTAATACTTTATTTTTTATTTGACGCTTTACCACTTCAGCAACGACCAACATCACTTAAGGCTTTTCCCAACTCCTTCAATGCCCGACAAAGCCTTAGGGACAACTGCCCTAAATCGGCCAAAGATCCAAATGGATAAGGCTCAATCCATCTCAAACCCACTCTAATTGACCCAAAATATATATCAATTTGCACGTCAAGAGCAATGTACATTCTCTGATGACCACTTTTCACTAAACTCATATTGAATCTTGAACTGACTTATACGTTGAAGTATTAATCATACAAATTCACACCATACCATTTTAAAAGAAAATCAAAATCACAGTTCAAAATTATTAATTTTTCAACTGTGTCCATTTTTTATTCTCCAACAAAACAAATTTCATAATATAAAATTCCTTGCATAAAACTATGAAGGGATAGTAAGATTGAGAATACTTACTACGGAGTAAGCATATCCAAACCTATCATACACATGTATGTTAGGATATATGTGTGTGATTATTGACGAGCTTAGGATAAAACAAAAAGTCCAAATTGGATTCGTGGCCTGTGAGCAAACTTGGAACCCAACTTGGAACCAAATGAAGAGTGGCCGGCCAATATGGCTCTCTCTGTCCATTAGTATCTCCTGCACATACATTTCTTTGCAGTTTCCTTTTCTTTTAATACTTCAATGTCTAGGCACAAAAAATAAATTGACAGTTATCTTATAGTATAAAAAAACCAATCATCTTACCATACAGAAAAATTATCTAAAAAAAACCCATTTTATAACATTCTTTTAAAAAATAACTACATATTTTACTTTTATTTTTATTGAATATTAGTGTAAAATTAGTTTTCACATTAGTTTGCTCTGTCCGTACATATTAATTTTTTTAAATCTTTTTTAAAATATAAAATAAATAATATTAACAGTTGATAATATAAATATTATAGATACATTGTAGTAAATTGCAAATTTGTTAAAAAGAGTATTATTTAAAAGAAAAAATATAGAATTTTAGAATTTCACATGATTTTATGGTGAAGTAATGTAACTAAAAAACCCATAAACATAACACACGTAAAATATCAAGATTTTGGCCTAACCATCCTTTTACAATAGAAAAAAAAAAATGAGTGAGTGAGAGTGAGAGTGAGATATCATGATGATTGAACTTACTACAAGCACAAAACCAAAGCATGAATAACAGCCATTCATTGAATGATATTGCTATCCAAAATCTAATCCTTACTTGTTTGGCCTCATGAGTCACAACCACACATCCACGTTGCCACATCTTATTTCCTTACTATACTTCATAGTACTACATAATAATAACAACATCTAACTAAGAATTTGCTTCCCTGCAAAACTTGTATACTACAAACTTCACCTTGTAGGCTCAATCATGGCTTCGGCTACTTTTTCTGTAGCCAAACCAGCTATTAAGGTTCAATATATCTACTCATTCTTTAGAGGTTCATGTTAAGTATAGTGGTAACATTTTGTAGTAAAGCTAGAGTTATAGTAACTTATAGTAGTTTTTTTCTTCTCTTTGCTTTGTTTTAGGCAAATGGGAAAGGCTTCTCTGAACTCTCTAGTCTACGCAACTGTGATTTTCATTCTGCTGTTGCCTTCCAAACCAATGCAGTAAGTTCCTTTTCTCCAATGAATGGCTAATAGTTTTGTTATTGTAAAAATGAAGTACTTGATCATAGTATGTGTAAGAATAACTCCTAGCGATTGCCTGTCGGTGAAGACTTGGATCCTGAGAGTGTGCTCCTCTCAAGATCTCAAGCTCGAATCATGTGCTAACAATTCCTCAGTTAGGTCTGTTCATACAAAGCTTTACTCTCACTTTCAAACTTTCACTTAATGACTTCATGAGTAATCTATGCTCAAGAAGAATGTATAGTAATTCTTTCCATTTTACTCATAGAATACAGTCCTTTAGATTCATATTTTGATTCATCTAGTTATCATATCATATCACATTAATGTAAGATCATATGCTTGCACACCAAAAATCGGATTATCTCCGGTCATGGGATCAAGATCGGAGTGTTCAAACAAATGCATATTTTTATTTTATAATTTAAAATACTGAGTTTAAATATAGATTGTCTGATCTTGATCGAATAACTGATGCATATTTTTAAACAAATTAAGTTTCATCTTTTACAATTTTGCATCTATCTATCAATCTATATATGTATATTTGAAGGTTGGAAGTAGTGGAAGATACAAGAAAGGTCTTGTAGTGGAAGCAAAACAACTGAAGGTAGCCATAAACGGATTTGGAAGAATCGGAAGGAACTTCTTGAGATGTTGGCACGGCCGCAAGGACTCGCCTCTTGATGTCATTGCCATCAATGACACCGGAGGTGTAAAGCAAGCTTCTCACCTTCTCAAGTATGATTCGACACTTGGAATCTTTGATGCTGATGTTAAGCCTGTTGGTACTGATGGCATCTCAGTTGATGGAAAGGTTATCAAAGTTGTCTCAGACCGCAACCCTGCCAACCTTCCTTGGAAGTAAGCTATTCTCTCATTCATTGATCTATGAACATGTCATAAGTTATTTCAATAAGCTTTGTCTCATAAATGATCATGCTAGTAAGGACATTTAAGTGTAAATCATATTATTGTGTTATAAAGATTGCTATTGATATTGCAGGGAGTTGGGGATAGACTTGGTGATTGAAGGAACTGGAGTGTTTGTGGACAGAGAAGGTGCGGGGAGGCACATTACAGCAGGGGCTAAGAAGGTTCTCATCACTGCCCCTGGAAAAGGAGACATCCCTACTTATGTGGTTGGTGTCAATGCTGATGCTTACACCCATGACGACGACATTATCAGCAATGCTTCTTGCACCACTAACTGCCTTGCTCCCTTTGTCAAGGTCCTTGATCAGAAATTCGGTAATGTACCTTTTTACCGCATTTTCTTTTAAGGATATGTACTTTTTTTACTTATAAGTTATAACATATGAAGATGTATTGGGCAATAGGTATTATCAAGGGTACCATGACTACCACTCACTCCTACACCGGTGACCAACGTCTTCTTGACGCGAGTCACCGTGACCTAAGGCGTGCGAGAGCAGCAGCACTTAACATAGTGCCAACATCAACAGGAGCAGCTAAAGCAGTGGCCCTTGTCCTCCCAACACTCAAAGGCAAGCTCAACGGTATTGCACTTCGTGTGCCAACACCAAACGTTTCGGTGGTGGACCTCGTCGTTCAAGTTTCAAAGAAGACATTTGCTGAAGAAGTGAATGAGGCTTTTAGAGAGAGTGCAGCCAAGGAGCTGACTGGTATTCTCTCAGTTTGTGACGAGCCACTCGTGTCCGTAGATTTTAGGTGCACTGATGTGTCATCTACCGTGGATTCCTCACTGACAATGGTCATGGGTGATGACTTGGTTAAGGTGATTGCTTGGTATGATAATGAGTGGGGTTACTCACAAAGGGTTGTTGATTTGGCTGACATTGTTGCCAATAACTGGAAGTGAGAGCAAAATAAGGTTTGTTAATTATATATAATATATGTACCTATCATGTGCCATTTGTAATTTTGTACACTTGCTTATTTTTTCTTTCTAAACATGTATTGAGAAATAGAACCTTCAATTTTCTCTTGCTCCTCGTTGTGGAATAAATTGTTTTCCCTTGCTCAAATCTACATGTTGATACTAGGCTTCTGAATCTATATATGCACCATTGCACATTTTATAATCTTCTTGGGTTTTATACATTATACGAGAGAATCATAAATTTCACTTGAAACAAAATAATGGAAAAAAAACAAACATAAGTACCACGAGTATGGTACGTGTATCAGATATAAGTGCGTACCCGGTACTGATACGTCACCATCTTAGAAGTACCCGTGTTTAGAGACTTTTACCAATAGTTGCTAGGTGATGAGTATGAGCAACAAAGTCAACCCTTCCTTGGGTGCTGCCACAATCTGTAAAAGGAATAAACCAGAAAAATAAATTACAGGTTTAACATGTTTTCACAAAAAAGAAAAGTGAGTGCCTTTAAATTTATAACAAAAAAGGAACATTTATGCAATAGGGACATTGTATTAACAAAAATATTGAAGTACCTATCCTCAAATAAATGACAATGTGTGTAATGAAAATCATGTTGTAACATAAACCAGTAACTCTGGCGAAAAATGATTCATCAATTTTAACATGGAAATAGATTGCAAATTGGCAAACATTCATTGAACATTTATGCAACAATACAGCTTGATACTTGATACAATTGCTCATTACAATTTCATTTGCTACCGGATAAAATAATACCTAGATTACATAAAACATACACAAATGAAATGAACGCACAAAATAAAAGCCCTATCATAATAAATAAATTTGTTTCTTCGTCTTAGTCATGAGGGTCAGACAATTATACAAACACCTTGTGGGCAACCAATGGCTAAAACAATATGATCATAAATTCCTTTATTGAATAATCAATATATTTATATATTTATAAACTAGATATATTGATTATTCAATAAATCTAAAAAATAAATTGTCTTTTATAAAAAAAGAACAAAAGTATAAAACAAAAGTATAAAACAGTGTAAAATGTCATTCAATCACAATTATATTAAGTGTCAAAATTATATTATTATTTTTAAATAAATTATATGATATAGATAAATATATATATTTTTTATTCTTTTATAAATAATATTTCATATGTAATTAAAATAAAAAATTTATAAACGTCTAACGATTATGATCTACTTGATATTACTCTCTTTATGTATTTCTTCTATATATATGGAGTATATTATATATATATATTTTTTTTCATACGCCATCTTCCTTTCTCGTTGTTTATGAATGTTAATAAAGTATAAGAAATCAAAACAATGAAGTTGGTTGATTTTGAATAAATAGTTGGTTAAAAGAATTCAAAGATTGGTTAACGGATGTTCAAATATTAAAAAATTTAAGTAAATTATAAGTAATACAGACTTGGTTAATTATATATAAAATTTTAATTAATATATTTTAAAAGTTGGTTAATAAATTCCTGAACATAAAAATCTAAAATAATTTAGAAATAAAATAACTTCACTTCCATTTCTTTTTATAAAAGATAAATTATTTTTTAAATTTATAAAATAATTAATATATTTAATTTATTTATAGACTTAATAAATTGACTATTCAATAAATTTAAAAAATGAATTGTCTCTTAAAAAATGAAACAGAGATAGTATTACTTAATAGAGGATAAATAATTGATTAATTATACATTCTAAAAATTGGTTAATGAATTTCTAAATATATAAAAAGTAAATTACAAATAAAATAAAATTGATAAGTGATTTATTAGTGAATAATGGTACTTTAATTTTTTTAATTAATGGAGTTTGATTTTATCAAGAAGAGAGTGAGTGATTGACAGAAGAAGGTAGAGTTTGGAGTTCTAATAAAGGAGGAGTGAGAAATAGATTCAGATAAAAGTTTAAATTGACAAAAATATCTATTAAAAAATGTGAAATTACCAAATCTCTTATACTCTCTGTAAGAGGTTTATTTTTAAAGTTTATTAAATAACAATATATTTAAATTATATATAATATAAATATATTAATTTTTCGGTGAATTTAAAAAATAAATTCTTTTCTTATATTAAGAACGAGAAATAATACTTAAAAATTATAACATACGGTGGAATGTTAGAATTTGTGTCATAATATCATTTCTTTATATTATATATATATAGGAAAATAGAACAGTCATTTTATGTAAAGTATAGTGCGACGGTGTAAGTCAAAATCTTATTATAGTACGAGGATAAAGAAAACATATTTCATATTGCTATAAATCAAAAAGTTGAAAAGAAGTCAACTGTTCATATTGGATTTGGTCGTTCTGTTTGTAGATTTATTAATTAATGTTATACTAACTCCGTTTTTAAATATAAATATAAGATTTTGAATGTTAATTTATATTAATTAAAAAAAATTGGTTAGAATATTAAATTTATTGATAATTTATATAATTTTATAAGTTTATTTTTGCGAGAGAGAAATAATTAATATTTATATAAATATATTTATTATAACTTACAGAAAAATATGTAATATAATTAGGGGTATGTTTGAAAAAAAATTATTACTGCATTTTGAAAATTGAGGAAGGTCTTGCATTTTGAAAATTGAGGAAGGTCTTATAAAAAGAATAAAAAATAACTCAAAAGAGTCTTTTAATTAGAGACGAGATAGTAATATTTTATATTAATTTAAAAACACTATATAATACTTTAAATTAAATAAAAAGATATTATAAAATATTTATAATATTTTTATTCTCACAATTAATGAATTGTGTTTTTTATTTATTAGGGATTCCTTCAATTCCAGCACTTATAAATATATATCTTTATCACTTTTGTTCTCATAACCTTTACAACTTTATCAACTAAAAATAAAGAGAAGAGTTAGGAATTTTCAGTAAACTTTGATAGAAAATTATTGAAATTCTTTTGAATTTTTGAAATTTAAGAAATCTTTGGAGGTATCGAAGGGGATTGAGAAACACTTCTAAACACTTTGAACTTGTGTGATTCATATATTGAGAGTTAGAGATGTTGAGATACACGTTGGTAGAAATAGAGCTTGGTTTGTGGGAACACCAAAAAAAATTTATAACTCATTTATAATCTCTTCTAACATTTTTTAGAAGTATAGTAAATCAGAGAGTTGTTCTCTCCTCCATAGTAAATCGATTGATCGAACTGGGTAAATAAGTTGTTGTATTCTTGTGTTTTATCTTTTTATACTTTGTTGTGAATTTGCTTTCACTTTTGTCATGCTATTGTGTTGCTTTGCGTCATTTATTTTGGTTGTCATTATTTTTTTATCCCTGCACATTAACTTTTTTTGGTGTGTTTGAATTTTGAATAATTCTTCTTAGTTACGTTGAGTTATTCTACAAGTTTTTCACAACATGCGACGCCTACTGTGGGGTAAAAAGGTGTTGTTTACAAGTGAGTATCATGGACAATTGAAAGATTTAGAATTTTTCTTAAGACAATGATTTTGGGATGTGGAAACTGAAGATGCAAGAAATCTTAACTCAAGAGAAGTGTATTGAAGTATTGAAAGGTTAGACACCAATGTCTGCAGTCTAACACAAGTAAAGAAGACTGATATGGTGGATAAGGTCAGGAGTGTCATTATCTTATTCCTCAGAGATAAAGTTCTAAGGGAAGTTTTTAGGGAGAAGACTCTGAATTTTATGTGGAAAAACTTGAATCATTGTATATATCAAGTCTTTGACTCACATGTTATGTCTGAAACATCAATTTCACTCATTCCAAATGGTAGAGAACAAATCCATAGTGAAGTAGTTGACATAATTTCACAAGATTATTGATGGTCTTGAAAATATTGAAGTGAAGATTGAAGATGGGGACATTATTATACTCTTGTTGAGTTCATTATCCATATCCTTTGAGCACTTTTAAGGATGCACGTTTTTATGGTAAGGAAGATATTATTACTTTGGACAAAGTCTAGATGACTGTGAGATCCAAAGAATTTTTAAAGGTGGAAGATTTGAAGATTGATGATAGTGGTGGAGGCTAGAGTGTCTCAAAATGAGGAAGTATGCGTATATGGATGTCTAATCAAAGAGGTTTAACAAGTCAAGGTTTAAATGCTTTATTTTTTAGAAACACAGTCACTTCAAAAAGGATTGTTTTGAGAGAGAGAGGATAATGAAGATTATGTTTAGATTGTAGTTACTTTCAATGAGGATAATTATAAGAGTGTTGCTGCATTAGTGGTATCAAGTTTGGAGATTTAAGAGGGTTGGGTCGTGGACTTAGGTTGCTCTTAACACATGTGTCCAAAAAAAAGAATACTTTGAGACTTTGAAGTTAGAGTAAGGTGGAATAGTTATTCTTGGTGACGAAAAGACTTGCAAGATTTATGGTAATGGTACAGTCAAACTTAAATTGTATATTGATCATGAACTTTTTCTTCAAAACCCGAGGTATGTTCCAGAACTTAGGCAAAATTTGCCATCCATAAGTATGCTTGATGATCTAGAATATTGCACTAGAGTTGGACATGGGGCATTGAAGATTTTGCATGGTGAAGTAATCATAACTAAAGGTTTTAAAACATGTGGCTTATATATTTTAGAAGGTTTCAATGGTGATGTTCATTCATCATCAACTAGTGAAAACTTTCATGACAAGAAGAAGTTATGACATTTGAGGTCCATGCATGATAGACGCTTGAAGGTTATTTTAGAGCACTTTAATGAATTTTGCACAAGACAATGGATACATACGCATTTGACTACTGAGTTGTTATTGATTTTATGGGGTAAGGCTGGTGCCAAAGCAGCTTACATGGCTGATGAATGTTTATTTACAAGAATAAACTTCCAAACACATATGGTAGGTTGTAGTAGGAAATATGAAAACTAAGCTTATTCAAAGGTCGTCAAAACTTTGTTTATTGATC